AGCTCAACCCGGATCAAATAGATATACTTGAATCTCCATTTTCTGAAAAAGAACTTCTTACTGCCCTATCAAAAATGCCCAATAACAAATCACCCGGACCAGACGGCTTCCCTGCTGAGTTCTACAAACACTTCTGGACACTACTCTCCCAGCTTTTTTTTTTTTTTTTCCAGTTATTTTTATTATCATCTTTTTCAACAGTTTTTACAACACATTTATATGTATAACATTTATATCACATAAATGTAATCGACAACACGAGGCAAAACACAAAAGTGAAGAAAATTATAATAACAAAACAATATAAAAAAAAAAAGTAAAGTAAAAACCTGCACACATTCGAAGTTCTATGCAAAAAGAACAAAATATATATATAAAATCAAATTAAGAATGACGAGGTCCATCAAAACTTACTTATTATAATAATCAATAAAAGGCTGCCAAATTGAGTAGAATACTTGTTCTTTCTTTCTCAAAGAATACTTGATTTTTTCCAATTGTAAGAATTGCATTACATCTCTAAGAAAGTTTTGATGGGTAGGAGGCATGTTATTTTTCCAATTCAATAAAATTAAACGTCTGGCTAGCAATGTGACAAAACACATTATACTAGTCTGTGAGCTGTTCAAATGTATATCAGGAGACACAACACCAAATAGAAACATTATTGGATCTGCTGGGAGTCTAATATTGAAAATCACTGACAAAGTCTCAATTATTTTAGTCCAATAGACGGTGATGTGAGGACAGTTCCAAAATGTATGTGACAACGAAGCAGGGGCATAGCCACAACGTTCACATGAGGCGTCCACTCCCGGGAACATCCTGGACAGCCTTTGCTTGGAAAGATGCAATCGATGTAGGATCTTAAACTGCAGCAAACCGTGTCTGATACAAATTGAGGAGGAGTGGACCCGCTCTTGAGCTTCAATCCACTGGTCGTCTGTGATATTTATACCCAAGTCTTCACTCCAAGCATTTTTTATATGGTCAAGCGTAGTTGTACTATCCATCTGTGAAAGCAAAGGAAGGTTTCTCACCCATCATCTGTACTTCTTAGCAAGTTTTCCCGACGTTTCGTCCTCAACCTGGGGACTTCTTCAGGGAATGAATTCTCGGACCGCGCGTTGGAGATTTATAACCTATGGGTGTGGTAAGCCACACCCTAATCCTGATACTAACTCGTAAACAATCTCAGGTCTGCTTGATGTAGAAGGGAGCAGGTCTAACGACCCTGCTGAGGCTAACGACCCTAACTCCTTAGCATGTCACAGACCTATTGTCTGCTGGGATGCTCAAGTGGAGTGCAGGTTTCACCCCTCCTAACTCATTAGCATGTCACTGACCTTGTCCCAAGTTAGGGCGTTGTTTTTAGGATGTCGTCATAGATGCGAGGCAAAACAAATCTTAACCCTCCTCCTCTGTTAAGAGAAGGTTTTTGTTTCCTCACAAAAATGGCTTCTTTCACCCCTCTCTCAAACCAATTCTTCTCCCGAGCCAGAATTTTAACCTCTGTGTCATCTACCGTGTGGTTGGAGGCCTTGAGGTGGAGATGAACAGCCGACTGTGGCCCACTAGAGTTTTCTCTACGATGTTGGTAAAGTCGTTTCTGTAGAGTTTGTTTGGTTTCTCCAATATAGTGGTCAGTGCACTCCTCTTCACTACATTTAATTGAATACACCACATTGCTCTGTTTGTGTCTGGGTGTTTTGTCTTTGGGATGCACTAATTTCTGTCTTAAGGCGCGTTCAGACCAAAAGCTTCAAAAAGCTTTTGACGCGCGTCAGCTGACGCCGGGTTATTTTTGTCATTTTGGTGCTTGAAGCTTTTGACGCGAGTGACGCGCCTGACGCGCCTTACGCTGGTGGGAGGAGCTTCTCTGTTGCCGGTGTAGTCCAGAGAAGATGGCGGATTTCCGAAGAGCAGCTTGCCTTTATTTGTTGGTAAAATCCATACAACGTCGTCGTAGGGCTTCTACACAACGTGTATGGGTTCACAGCATACTTCAGAGGCGTGCAGTGTTTGGTGAGTTTCACCATTTACTCCAGGAGCTGCGTATGGACGAGGCTCGCTTTCAGCGGTACTTCCGAATGTCAGTAGCCCAGTTTGATGACCTGCTCACCCGCATCGGAGCTCGCATCGCCCGCATGGACACCAACTACAGGCGCTCGATTCCAGCGGAAGAGCGCCTGTCTATCTGTCTGAGGTTAGTGAGAATTTTCTGATAAAATATCTACAAATACAATAGGAAATAGCGTCCCTAGCATGGATCACGGCCCGAGAGAGAGGAGCAGCCAAAAGCAGTAGTTAAACGTTGAATATACGTTTTAATTAGGACATAAAAGTTAATTGTAATAACATTTCAGGCGGGAAATATACCCCACTAATGTCATATCAGAGGTCTGTTTGGTGATTAAATAGATATTTAAATTTTTGTCGGACTTTTTCCCTCCAGCGCGGAGCTCCAATGCTAACCGGCTAACCACGGGTGTTGAGCGGCGCTGAACACCCGTGAACCCAAGGAGGCTTTTGTTACAGACTTTCTCTGTTATAACGATTGTATTTAGAGTAATCATTAATACAATTGATATATTTGCTATGGCCCTCGTTTGTGCATTTGAAGTCATTTTGAAGGTGCATTGTGTCACTGTAGTGAAGTTATTAGAAAACTGATCAATTAAATCAGCATTGTCTGCTACTTAGTACTTAATATATTCAGATTCCCAAGTGATTAACCCCCCTGTGATTTCACAAAAGAGGGTACATTTCCATTGTTGGTGCAATTCCTGAAAACAAATTTACACAATCATATTGTATGATTAATTTAAAATATTTTTGTATATTGCTGAGTCGTATTTGTATCATTGTAGGTTTCTTGCTACTGGGGACTCCTTCAGGACCATAGCAAGCAGCTTCAGGGTGGGCATCTCCACCATCTCCAGCATCATCCCAGATGTGGTGGCAGCCATCTGGGACGGCCTGGTGGAGGAGTTCATGCCTGTGCCTGGAGAAGAGGAGTGGAGGTTGTCTGCTATGGAGTTTGAGGAGCGGTGGAACTTCCCTCTTTGTTGTGGTGCTATAGATGGGAAGCACATCAACCTCAAGGCACCCCCCAACTCAGGCTCCCTGTACTTCAACTACAAGGGTAGGCACTCCTTGGTCCTCCTTGCTATTGTAGATGCCAACTACAAGTTCAATTTGGAGAGACGAGAAAACAGGAAGTTTTGAGTATTTTATTGGGAGGAGGTTTGGCGCCCTAGGCCCCGGTGCGGCCTTCAGATCGGAAAGGCTCCTGCGATGGAGCGCGCACAATCCCCCGGGACCTAGGCACTGGTGGCGGCATTTGGCAGCAGGAAGCAGATTGGAGGCAGATTGGAGGCAGGGTGAAGAGGAGGAGGAGGGGAGGCGGTGGTTGCGAGGCTTCAGGAGGCAGAGAGTGGTAGTTTTTCCGTTTTTATGCGGCTGGCGTAGTCGGTACAGATGATTGGAAGGGGGCGTCTGCTGAGCGATAGGCTGGGATGCGAGCCGGCCTGGAGGGGGTAAATTTGGTTAACGTCTACCAAATTGAACTTTCGCTGGCTGCATTTCAGGGTGATTGACGTAGGGGGCTATGGCAGAACCAGCGATGGAGGGATCCTGGCCAACTCCACCTTCGGTCAGGCTCTGCATGCGGGAACACTTCCTCTGCCAGCTGACCGGCATCTCCCTGGAGCAGAGCACCGAGGCCCCCTGCCCCATGTCTTTGTGGCAGATGAGGCCTTCCCACTGCGGAGGAACTTAATGCGGCCTTTTCCAGGAAGTGGCGGCGCTAACCCTGGACAGCGCATTTTTAATTACCGCCTCTCCCGAGCCCGGCTGGTGGTGGAGGATGCGTTTGGCATTTGGTCATCGCAGTGGAGGATGTTTCGTCGGGACCTCGAGATCCGGCCAGAAGTTGTGGAGAAGTGCGTGAAGGCCACATGTGTTCTCCACAATTTCCTGAGGGTGTCTGCTCCGGTCCCAGTCCTGAGAGGAGCTGCAGCGCAGGGAGATGACTGTCTTCCAGGTGTCGGGAGGATGGGTGCCAACAACGCCACCAGAGAGGCACTGCAGGCGAGGGAGGCGTTCATGGCCCACTTCTGTGAGGAGGGGGCAGTAGCATGGCAGCCTACAGAGTAGTCAGATCCTCACGGGACTGACCCAAAACGGTTCTTTTAAGAGCCACCCATGAAAACTAAAGAGCATTTCTTCTTTAATAATATTTGAGTGTCTGTATTTGCCAATGCATTACTTTTGAATATCAGGACACAAATACTACAATATCCTGATCATGAATTCTAGTCTTGGATAAAGACCATGTCTATGTTTATCCAGTATGTTTTTGAACCATTCACCTGTGCCCTTCTTGTTTGCAGGTAATAGTTCCAGATTCTGCAGCTGTCTCCGACTTCACAACATGTTCAAGCATGGCCTCAATTACAAGTTTGTCCAAACAGGATATGCTGAAATTAATTATGTCAACTAATTTCTATTGTCTCATATTTGGTGATAACGTGTTTACGAGTAAAGTTCTCCTTAATTGAAGTATTTGAAATTAGTGATATTTAACTTATTTGAACACATACCTTAATGAAAAACCTGTACATATTTAAAGTAGCAGACCAAATCTTAAGTTATAAATTTTTTAATGAAATATGTAAAAACAAATATATACACAAAAAAGAACAGGAACAGGAATAAAAAGGACCTTGCTTGGAGGAGGAGGAGGAGTGCAGGAAGGAGAAGAGTCTGTTTCCTCCCCTGCAAAAGAAGCCACCTCATAGCTAAACACTACTACTAAGTGTGCTCCAATTGTTCCACATTAAGCGTAAATGCGCTGCTCTCATAAAGTAATTTATGAATTTGGAATTTGACAAATTCTAAAGATTGAGGTGGCACCTTATCCAGGAGAGGAAGCAGAGATTGGAGGAAGAGCTCATTTCGTGATGGAGCTGGAGCTGCAGTCTGCCGCAGGAGGGCCATCAGCTCCAGCTCCAAGCGCGATAGCTCCTGGGCGGAGGTGTCCTGGGTGGTGCGCTTCCTCGCTCTCTTCCTTTGTGGACCTGCAAACACCACAAGACAATGGCTTTAAAAACATAAAGTCATGAGTATGTAGGATCTGATAATCTATGAACAACTTTTAAATCCTTTTCTTATGTTAAATAAAATAACTAGATCCTATGTAAAAACAGTATTCAATTTGGATATTTCACTTTTTGATGCCCACATATTCAAAAGTATTTGTGAAATGTTTAATATAACGTTTATACATTCACAACAATAAAATTGATTTCCTACACACCTGTAGGTGCAGCAGCAGGGGAACGACCGGCAGCAGAGGAAGAACCAGCAGCAGAGGACGGTCCAGGAGCCGAGGACGGTCCAGGAGCCGAGAACGGTCCAGAGGCCGAGGACGGTCCAGCACTCGGCTCTGTCTCTGAACTTGACTCCGTATCAGCGTCATCTGTTATTAAATAAATTACTTTCACTTCACAGCACGTGTACAATCATTTTAAGAACGTTAATACTCATATAAATAACCTTGCTATAAACAATAATGACAACAAAACAGTTTAGTGGGCAGCTGCATGACTTCTTTCCATACATTGTTTTAGCTACACACCTACATCTGACATTAGTTTACAGCATATGTACATTTATTTTGCCAGTTGCTTATTAAGAACGTTAATACTCATAAATAACCTTGCTATAAACAATGACAACAAAACAGTTTAGTGGGCAGCTGCATGACTTCATTCAATACATTGTTTTAGCTACAGACCTCCTGCAACTGACACCTCCGCTGCTGCTGGTTCTTCCTCTTGGAGGTGGCTGTCCCCCCTCTCCTCCTCGGCCCTGTGTGCTGTCATGTTACCAGTAGATGGCCTCGGTGTTACGTAGGGCTCGAGGAAGGAGAGCGATGCCAAGTACCTCCACCTCTGCACTGTCCCTGCTGCTGCTGCACCACTGCGCCTCCTGTCTTTCTCCTTCCTGCACTCCCTCATGAACCTGTCCCTCAGGCTTTTCCACCTCTTTTTGATTTCTTTCTCTATATGAACAAATGGACTTGTGAGCGGGAACAGAAATCATAGCGACTGTACATTGTACGACTCCTGACCGGAGTTTACTAAACATGGAATACAGATATGAATTCTTTACATAACTTACCATCGTACCCGATCTCCTCGCTTATCCTCCTCCAAGCAAGGTCCTTTTTATTCCTGTCCCTGTATAGCGGGCTGGAAACAGCGTAAAGCTCTGGGCGAGAGCTAATCGCCACGATTAAGCTCTCCTCCATGTTCTCGAATATGATTTTGTTTCCCGCTTCCACCGGCTTCATCGTAGAGCGACCCTGTCTCCTGATTGGTTGAAGCCCGCGTCAAAGCTTCAAAAGCTCAGCTTTGCTCAGCTTCGGCGTCAAAGGGATTGTTGTGATACGCGAGCGATTCGCGCGTCAAAAGCTTCAAGTGAGCGCGTATTACGCGCGACCTTTGAAGCTTTTGACGCGCGCCAAGTGACGCCGGGCCCCTCGGCTTCACCTGACGCGCTTCACCATTCACTTTCAATGCAAACCTGACGCTTTTGACGCCGAAGTTAAGTCCGGTGTGTGAACGCCCCTTTAACGTGTTGAAAGGTTTGAAATACACAGGGATTTTGTGTTGCCTAAAGATTCTTTGTAGTTTCTATGAAACTCCCGCCACATACGGTAAGGACACCCCTCTCCTCCTACTTTCTTCTGTCTGTAGGATTGTGTCTCTGGCCTTTCTCGTCCTTTGGGCTTTAGTAAAAGACCACTTGGGGTAGCCACATCTGGAAAGTGCTCTCTGAACATGTTTGGTTTCTCTGTTCTTTCCCTCCGAGCTAGTGGGGACCTGGTGGGCTCGGTGTTGAAGCGTTCTAATGACCCCGAGTTTGTGTTGTAGCGGATGATTTGAATCAAAGGCCAAGTACTGGTCAGTGTGAGTGGACTTTCTGAAGACCTCAGTCTCTAATTGTCCGGGAAAACTTGCTAAGAAGTACAGATGATGGGTGAGAAACCTTCCTTTGCTTTGACTAATCCCTGTACGACTGAGGGCTTACACAAACTTATCCATCTGTGAAAAATTATTATATATTCTAGAAATAGATCCTTTCTTGAGCGGGTCGTTCACTAACACATGGTTCATAGGATCCATTTCAGGTTGATTAGGAAAAGAGGGAAATGTCGCCTTAGTAAAATTACGTATTTGTAAGTATTTGAAAAAATCTTTGTTATCAATTTTAAATTTGTGTTTTAATCTCTCAAATGTTGGAAATACTTTGTCAATAAAAAGGTCCAGAATTGTGTGCACTCCTTTAAGGTCCCATTGTAGAAATGCATGACCTGAAAATAATTTATGACCTTGATTTCCAATTATTGGTGTTAGGACCGAACAATGATTCCATTTAAAGTGTCTTCTGATTTGAGACCAAATTTTCAGTGAGTGAGACACAACAGGGTTGTGAGTTTTAAATTTAGAAAGATCAGAGGTGTAATGTATCAATGATTTCAATGTATTAGGAAAAAAGGCTTGATTTTCCATCCGTTCCCAATCAGGCCTGTGAAATCCATTCCAAAAAGAAATACATCGAATATTACAGGACCAATAGTAGAGCCGGAAATTGGGTAGACCCATTCCTCCTACAGGTTTGGGTCTTTGTAAAAAAGATTTTTTGATCCTTGGTGTCTTTTTATTCCAAATAAAGGACGTAACTAAAGAGTCTATTTTAGTAAAAAAAACTCTTATTGATCAAAATCGGAACACACTGAAATAAAAATACATATTTTGGCAAAACATTCATTCTGATAATATTAATTCGGCCAGCAAGAGAGATCGGGAGATTAGACCACCTCTCAATCTGTTTCTCTGTTTGTTTATATAGGTTTGCAAAGTTCTTACTGAAGAGGCCAGAGATCTCACGTGTGACATTTATACCGAGATATTTAAAACAGTCTGAAACAGCGAAGGGAAAAGGAGTAAGCGTGTGTATTTGTGCTCTAGCTTTTGAGCTGATCGGAAATAATATGCTCTTTAGTAGGTTGATTTTATATCCTGACACCTTCCCAAAATCAGATAGCATGGTCATAATGTTTGGTAGAGACAGAGATGGATCAGAGATGTACAAAAGCAGATCATCTGCATACAAGGACACTTTATGCTCCCTGCCTCCTCTCTCAATCCCTTTATAATCACCTGCAGAGCGCAGCAATATAGCCAGAGGCTCTATGACCAGGGCAAACAGCAAAGGAGACAGGGGGTAGCCCTGTCGTGTTGAGCGTTGGAGAGGAAAATAGCAGGAATCCATATTATTTGTATGAACACATGCTTTAGGCTGAGCGTAAATTAGCCTGATTAAGGAAGTGTAGTGTGGGCCAAATCCGAACCTCGACAGGGCCGAGAAGAGAAAGTCCCACTCGACCCTGTCGAAGGCTTTCTCCGCGTCTAATGAGAGTAATATTTCAGATACTTCCTGATTTGGATTTTGAGTGTAAATAACGTTAAACAATCGTCTGATGTTAAAAAATAACTGTCTGCCTTTAACAAATCCAGTTTGATCTGGTGACACAATGGTTGGAAGGACTTTTTCTAAACGCACGGCCAAGATCTTTGCTAAAATGTTGTTATCCACATTTAGAAGGCTTATGGGTCTATATGAACCTGGTTCTAGTGGGTCTTTCCCAGATTTGTGAATTAAAGAAATACATGCGTCATATAGCGTTGGAGGTAGAAATCCTGCAGCTAATGCTTCGTTATAAACACTTAAAAGGAGAGTTGAAATTCGATCTATAAAAGCCTTATAAAATTCAACACTGTAACCATCGGGACCTGGGCACTTAGAATTTTGCATGGACTGTAGAGCCTGCTTTATTTCTAATTTTGAAATTGGTTGTTCTAATAACTCTTTGTTTTCTAAACTTATAGTGGGTATTTGAAGGTTATCAAAAAAATGTTCTATTAATTGTGGGTCTTTTTTAGATTCTGAAGAGTACAATTTGGAATAGAAGTTTTTAAATGTGTCATTAATTATTTTGGGATTTGTTGTGGTTTTACCTGTTTCTGTACGTATCTCTGTTATTAACCTTGACGCTGCCTCTTCTTTAATTTGTTGGGCCAATAGTTTACCTGTTTTTTCCCCGTATTCATAATTTTTGTGTCTTAATTGTGTCAAAAATTTAGTAGTCTCTGCTGTATATAATAAATTGAGTTCCGTCTGCAATGACTGCTTCTTTTTATAAAGGGCAGGTATGGGAGAATCGGCATAGTTTCTGTCAATTTCTTTAAGTTCTTGGGTCAATTTGAACTCCTTTTCCCTTCGCTGCTTATTTCTTAAACTAGTCAGGCAAATAATCTGGCCCCTAATGTACGCTTTAAACGTTTCCCACAAGGTGGCTCTCTTGATCTTCGGATCATCATTAGTAAGAAGAAACATATCAATTTGTTTATGCAGATCTTCTATTATATTATCGTCTGATAAAAGTGCATTATTAAACCTCCACTTTTTAGTTGAAGGGTCGTGACCCATCTCTATATGGAATGACACTGGACAATGGTCAGATATCACAATTGCCTCATAATCACAATGCTTAATGTTGGTCAGATATGCATAATCAATTAAAAAGAAATCAATTCTAGAACGAATGATGAACTAGTACTAGTATTTTTTTGTGTTGGGAAATAATACCCTAAATGGGTCGCTTAATTTATAGATATTCATGAATCCCTGAATGGCTTTAGCAGACTTTGATATGTTGGATGATTTTTGTGATGATTTATCTATTGTCGGGTCCAATACTAGATTAAAATCCCCTCCAATAATCAATCTGTGAGTATCCATATTAGGTAGCACTGAAAAAAAAGAAACGATAAAAGCTTCGTCATCGGTATTGGGAGCATAGATACTAGCCAAAGTCACCGGCTTATTATATAACTTCCCTGTAGCAATAACATAACGCCCTCGGGGATCAGATATTACTTTTGATGCCAAAAAGGGAATCGTCTTTCTAATAATTATTGCTGCACCTCTATTTTTTACAGGAAAATTAGAATGAAATATCTGTCCAAGCCATTTAGTTCGTAATCGTTTATGATCCTGATCTCTCAGGTGTGTCTCTTGTAAAAACCCGATATCCATCTCTAATTTTTTAAGGTGGGTCAGTACATTTCCTCGTTTAATAGATCCATTGAGTCCCTTACAATTCCAGGAGACAATTTTAACCAAGTTTATATGACTAGATGAGAAGTCTAAAGTATTGTTGCTAGCCATCATTGTTTAGGTGGAAAAATAAAATATTTCTCAATTTAGATTTTTTGGACAACCTCATTTGATAAAAGTCAAAAATATATTCAACAGTAGTGCAGGAAAAAACACAGAACAAACCAAAATTTCTAAAAACAACAAACCTTGCTCTCTCTCTGAAAAACCTTGAGCTAACTACTCCATCAGAACTACAGAGGAAACATAGAATCCCCCCCAAACCGTTGTTTGTGCACTCAGAAAGGTGTGTGAACATTTGACTTACCACTAAGCTCCTAAAAAAAAAAAAAAAAAAGAATTAAATCTTCCAGACCATCTTAAACATATTCTGGCCAATACCTGTGTTGATTGTAGACCAGCGTTTCCCAAATTTAAAGCAGATAATTAGAAATTAGAAATATATATGTAATAAAAAATAAATAAAAACACTTCTATAGTGAAGAAATTTAAAACAATAAAAAATAAATGACTAAAAATCTAAATAAAAATAAATGGCACAAGGGCATACATTTATAGGGTACCTGGTTTAGTGTCCGTTTTTCAGTTTATGCAGGCCAGTCATAACATTACCACGGGCGTCTAAATCAGCGTTCAATGCTCCTCCGATGACGATGATTTGTTGCGGTTAATGAATCTCTCCACTGCACATGGATCGATGAAGGTCATTCTGGAATCATCAACTGTTATCTCCAGCTTGGCAGGGAAGAGCATTCTGTACTTGACTCCAGCGTCACGAAGTTTGGTTTTTACTTGATTGAAGGCCACACGTTGTCGTCCTACCTCTGGGCTCATATCCGGGAAGATGTGAACCTGTGCTCCTTCAAAGAAAAGTTTGCCTTTGGTCCGGGACAGTGACATGATCTTTTCTTTATCCGAATAGTAGTGAAGACGGGCAATCATGGGTCGGGGTCGCTCGCCAGAACGTGGTTTTGGAGCGAGACTTCTGTGGGCACGATCAACAAGGATGGGACCGTCAAAGTTTTCTTCACCAAGCACTTTAGACAGAAATTTGGCTATAAATATGGTTGGCATGTTGTTTTCGGCCCCTTCGGGAACATTTAGGATCCTGATGTTTTGGCGGCGGCTCCTGTTCTCCAAATCAATGCATTTCTCCTTAAGTTTCTTCTGGTCAGCAGCCAGAGTCTGGTAGGAGTTTTCCAGAGCCGTGAGCCTGTCAGAAGTGTCGCTGAGGGATTGCTCCATGTCCGACTGTGTGACAGCCGCCTCTTTTTGCATTGAAAACAGGCTCTCGACTTTTCCCATTAGCTCGTCGTGAACAGTTTTAATGTCCGCTTTGGTGGTCTCCCGCAGGGATGAGATTTCGTCGCGTATTTCTTTGGTGAGGCCTTCCATCTCTGCCTTTAGAAATGATCGCATTGTGTCTCTGTACGAGTTAAATTCCGCTCTTAGCTCCGTACGCAAAGTACCCAGTGAGATAGGACCGTCTTCTGTTAGCCCCGTGGCGCCGCTAGCTTTAGCACCGTCATTTTTTTCTGCAGTGGTGGCCTGAGAGTCAACCTCCAGAGTCGTTTGCGTGTATTGTCTGCCCTTCCTTTGAGACATTATGTTATCGCGGACGTGGTAGTGCAATTTGCTTGAAATTAGCTGGTCTGGAAAATAAAATGTTACTTAAATACACATGGAGCTGGTCTATTGCGCTGCTCAAGCCATGAGACCGGAAGCGGAAGTCACTAAAAAATTATTGTTGGGGTGGCTGTTGTACAATCATTAAATGCCACCATTTGCACATACAACGTCCGATTTGCACCAAACTATTGAATGAAATGTTCAACTCTCGGGTTTGAGGAAAACTGATTGTAAATCATGAAATGCAGCATCAGCGCCCTACAGAGTGGATACCAAGATGTTAGATGGATGAGACTGGGGTTTACCGTTTCCATAGAGACACACAATCACTGATCATAGAATTCAAAATGCACCTGTGTCGGCTCCATAGGGGCAGGGGGAAAGTGGCGCTGTCAGCGCCACCTCCTTTGCGCGGTGCGGCGTAGGGCGTTAGATGCCGCTTGCGGCTTTAATTTATTTTTTCTTCTGACTTTGAACCTTACTTGGGACCCCCTGAACATGATGAAAAGTTGTGACAATTTTGCCCATATCTGAAACCGGTGAATTTTTTATTTTTTTTTTGTTTTTTTTTCTGGGACTAAAAAAATGAAGACAGCGCCCCCTACAAAAAGTCAGTTTTACATTGCGCCTATGGCGAGCGGGGTCGGAGGTTCAAGTTTGGCGTTTAGAGCCACGAAATTCGGTAACCACATGTTCTCAAGTCAAGACATGAAAATCAAGTTATATGGCTCGCCCCCGACAAACAGGGAGCTCATTAATGTCCATGGGAAATGGAAAAAAATGGAAAAAGTGATATTTTTCAAACATCATCCATTCCATCCATTTTCTACCCTTTAATCCATTTTGGATCAGGGGGGTGGCTAGTCAGAGATGCCAGCCCAAGTCTCATTGCACCAGCCCCTCACTGACCCTCTGCAGGTGGTGAGTCCACAGGAGACGGTGCTCTCCTGTGCGGCCTTGATCTACAGTGGGGGTTTTTTGTGGCAACAGTAGGGTTAAGGGTCTTGCCCAGGACACAACGCAGCCAGTCATCTGTGGAGTCGGTGGAGAAGGTTGTCGCAGTTGGGAATTGAACCCACGACCTTCAAGGCTTAAGGCCAATGCTCTACCAATCTGAGCTACAGTCGCCCTATTTTTCACACATGGTTGGAAATTATCTCCTATTTCTAGGCCGTTTCACGATATAGTCTTTCAAAAATCGCTCCTCATGGTCTAAACACATGTACATCACTTAGTTGTAATATAGAATTTGGAATCAGTTAAACGTTCGTACCGAGCAGCGGTAGCGGCAACTGTGACCTTTTTTTTCATTTTTTGACAAAAGTAAATTTGCTCCCGTTTGCCCCAAACAACAGCCGGTATTAGACCACCAAAAATTTTTATCCCATTGTTACAGCACCAGGGTTCTAGTTCCATGAAAAGAGGAAATACTAACTTCGGCTTTTAGCTCCCCTACAGCCCTTGTTCAATTTTTCACCATTAACAAAAATAACATTTGATAAAATACCCACTCAGAATTACACAATAATCCCCACACATACTTAAAATTTAATTCTTTCATCCACCACCACTAACATCACAACACTCTTCATCAAATATACCATAATCCCCTTTTCTCTTCCCACCCACCATCCCCATTAATTTATTCACTATTCCAACATCCAAAACTCTAATACACTTACCACATCTCCACACCACACCATCCCCCATCCACTTCCTAATACCCACAAAATTTCTCCATCGCCACCACATGATCACACCACCATTCCCCACCCCACTAATCCACACTCAACTCCAACTAACCCCCATTACATTCTATCCCTCCACCCCCCCCCCCTATATTACAAAAAACCCCCTCATATATCCACCCCCATAACACCCCCCATCTACCATACAATACCCCCCCCCCCCCCACCCCCCCTCAAAAAATAAAACCCCCTACACCCCCCCAAAACCCCCCCACATCACAACCCCCCAACCCCCAATCCCCACATAAAACCCACATTCACAAACCCCCCACCAACTCAACCCACCCCCCCCCAAAACCCCCCCCCCACACCCACCAACCCACACCCATCACCCAAATAACCCCCAAACAAACAAAAAACAAACCCCACAACACCCCCACACCCCCCCCCACCCCCCCCACCCACCCCCCCCCCCCCCACCCCCCCCCCCCCACCACCACCACACACACACAACAACACCCCACACACCCCCAAAACCCCCCCCCACACCCCCCAACCCCCCCCCCCCCCCCACAACACACCAACCCCCCCAAACCCACCCCCCCCCCTGCAGAAAACATAAATACATTTATCCCCATGGTAAACACTTTAATCAGCCTGTATGGGGGCGGCATAATGGGCCAATGTTATTGTTCACACAGTCATGTGACCTAGGCCCAGTAGTGAACAACAGAGTCAAGTTTAGTGATTATCAGAGTTTGTAATGTGCTCTGTTTACACACACAATCTGTGAGTGTGTCCATCCAGTCTTCAGTGGATAACATGGGAACTTCACACCTCGTTTGAAAATACACCACACTTTGGGGATGTCTGTTCCACGCGTGCATACCGTTTGGACTATTCAAATTCTATATGCAACTATTGTTGGTCCTGTGTGCAGACGATGTGGAGCGATTTTAGACTAATTTAGTGAAACGGGGCCGATGGTGGTTTGATGTTTGAGCGAAGTGTACTTTTCAAAAGATTTAATGGATTTTGCCTAGCAAGCAGGGGATGTGTTGGCTCGTCGCCACGGCAACAGGTAAAAATAATCATTTGATTGTCATTGACATTTTGAATCAGACTACAAAACAGAATTAGGTGCCAAAATTTCAAACATTTTGACAAAACTAAATTTTAATAAAGTCCATGTAAAACTTTAACAATGGTCGGTAGGGGGCGGCTAAATAAGCAATTTCAATATTTCACTTTCAAATGCCTAGACCCTGGAGCTGAACAATGGATATAAAAATTTTGTGCAAATCGGCTTTGTTTGTGCCAACGGGAGCAATTTAACTTTTGTCAAAAAATGAAAAAAAAAGGTCACATTTTGCCGCTCCCCGCTGCTCGGACAAACGTTTAAACTGATCCAAATTCTATATTCACTAATTGTTGGTTACATGTGTTTTAGACCATGTGGAGCGGATTTTGAGACAATAAGCGGTGGTTGAAAACGGCCTAGGGAGGAGATAATTTTTCCAACCAGATTGTTTGAAAAAAAGGGCGACAGTAGCTCAGTTGAGAGCATTGGCCTGTAAGGGCCTGAAGGTCGGGGGTTCATTCCCACCTCTACACCTTCTCCACCGATACTCCCACTGATGACTGCTGTCGTTGAGTGCTCTTGGGCAATACACTTACGCCTACTTTGCCACAAAAGCCCCCACTGTAAGATCAAAGGCCGCTCAGGAGAGCAGCCGTCCTCCTGTGGACGCAACCACCTGCAGGGGTCTGTGAGGGGTCTGGTGCTTATGAGACTTGCGGTGGCATCTCTGACGCCACCCCCCTGATCCACGATAGAAATGATTAAAGGGTTAGAAAAATGGATGGATGGCATGGATGTTTGAAAAATATCACTTTTCATTTTCCATTTCCATGAAATAATGGCCTCCCCTGTTTGTCGGGGGGCGGAGCCCATACATAACTTTTTTTTTCATGTCTTGACTTCAGGAAATGGTATCCGAATTGTGTGGCTCGATCGACAACTTGACCTCCGACCCGCTCCCATAGGCGGCATGTAAACTGACTTTTGTAGGGGGCGGCAGTCTGTCATTTTTTTTAAGGTCCCATAAAAATAAACTAAAAAAAATATAAAAATTTCACGGTTCTGAATTCTTGGGCAAAATTTCACTACGTTTTCTCGCAATGTTCAGGGGGTCACAAGGTAAGGTTCCAAAGTGCAGAAGAAAAAAATAAAATTCAAGCCGCATAGCGGCATCTAACGGCCCTCGCCGCACGCCGCGCAAAGGACCTTCCGCGGTGGCGCTGACGCGCCACTTTCCCTGCCCTGCCAGATGGAGCGACACTGTGCATTTTGAATTCTTATGATCCGTGATTGTGTGTCTCTAGTTGAAACGGTAAACCCCAGGTTCTCATTCTAACTCTTGTATCACTTGATTGGGGGGCGCTGATGCTGCATTTCCATGATTTTACAGTTCAGTTGTACTAACCGTGCGGTTGAACCATCAATTCAAATTTTTGTAGCAAATCGAAATACTTTATTTCTGGACTTTGTATGTGACAACATGGTGGCATTTAAGTTGTACAACAGCTCCCTACAATTAATTTTTTTAGGTGTTATACACCAAAGAACCACCAAATAAATACATTTATGCCTGAAAAAATAATCTTGTGGCAAAGTTTGGTTGAGGTTTGTGTTGTTATGTGGGCAAACTATGAGAACAAACAAACATAAAACCTAAATACGTGTATCCGCATGTAAACCTTCACTCCGCCTCTAGGGGGCGATTAATGGGCCAATGTTCATTTGTTCACACTGTCAATGTGACCTAGGCCCCGGAGTTGAACAACCGAGTCAAGTTTAGTGCACATCCGAGTTTGTGAATGTGCTCCAGTTTTGCACATACAATCTGTGTGTGTGTCCACACAGTCTCCATTGGATAATATTGGGAATCACACCTCTCTATGAAAATGACCACACTTTGGGGGGCTGTCACGCTCAAGACCGTTTGACTAAATTAAATCTGATTTGCCAACTATGATGTCTCCATTGTGTTGAGACCATGTGGACTGATTTTTCAAAACAACTTAGTGATAACGGGGCCGCAGGCTGGTTTGATGTTTGAGCGAGGTTGTACTTTTCCCAGAGATTTAATCAAATTTTCTCATAGACAACAGACAGGGGAGTGCTTTGTCGTTGCCACGGCACAGGGTAAAAAATTAACATCTTGTTGTCATTGTCTTTTTGATCCAGATGCCAACACAGAATTATGTGCAAAATTTAAAACATTT